AGCCGAAAGCTCAGAATACAACTATTATTCCAGAGATCGCGTCTTCCTCTTCAAAATTATATATATATATATATGTATGGCAGATGGGTGCTCATCGATCGGTTACAGAATTCGCTCTTCCCGTTGTGTCTAAGGGCTCGCTCTCATGTCTCGCCAGTAGCTGCTTGAAAGCAATTCATTACCAGCAAAGACAAGGGAAACGCAGACTGCCAGAGGTCACAACTACCAATCAGGTCTCACTCCAGATAACTACTGATTTTTTCCGCACGTATGAAGTTTTAGTTGTTCTTTGCGTATTTCTTGTTAGTCCGAAAACGAGCTGGGGAACATGTCTCGAAAATTCACTCATTAAAGTTACGTTTATATCCCAAACAACATATTCTTCTTCAAATTAAAATTTATTGGGATGCGTTTTCTCCAGTTTTTACAAATGAAGATTATTGGCCAGTTAGGAAGACCCGGATCGGTTGCCACTGGTGCGCATGTGCAAGCATTCGCAAGAGGCCCTCAGAGTTAGGCCGCTACAAGAAGTGTTCCATTCCCGGACGGAGTTCGGGCGAAAAAAATTGAACGGACAAATAATAAGGAGATTGAATGAATGAGATACGTACCAACGATAGTGCTATGGACAGCTTGGGTAGCTACAACTGTGTTGGGAATGCGCCCATTCTTACGACCACTCATCTTACAGAAAAGCCGCCATATATAACTCCACGCCCCTGTCATGAGAGCGTGCCGTGGCTATCGATTTTTCGTCATAGCTTATTGGTCCCCTGTCGCTGACGCCTACTCATGGAGCCTTTTGTAAGAGTGACGAGCAGTGACTTGTACTTTCCTTCCCTGACGTGTTCTGTGTGTATACACTTCTTCTCACGGCCGATTGACTTCTCTTGTTCTCTTGTGCTGGCGTTCAGGGCAACAACTGGGCTAGCGCAGCGTTCGTGCTAAGCACAAGTAGTGGGCACGAATCGTAACAAACTGGCGGGAAGGAGCCAGTTGGATAGGACGGTTGGAGAAAGCCGGTGGTCTGGTTGTAGAATTACACGTAGACGGCACCTAATTATGGATAGAATAAAAAGGCAGAGGGTACCTTCGGATGAATGAAAGAGAACGCTCGTGTTCCAGGTATTTGCGTCGGTAAAGAAGATAGATGATCGAACACCGGAACGATTTTTATTTTATTTTGGGCTTTCAGACTTTTACAGGAGTCCATCGTCAGAGATGGGAAGCAGCAACAAAAGAGTGGCTAGTTATAGCCTGTGAACAATTTGAACGTGTAAAAAAATCGATAACTGTTAGGTTTGGGAACCTAATGGCCACACCAGCAAGAAAGTGGGGCAATTATGGAGGATGTGGGCCCAGTTAATTGTGACGGACGTCTGGCTGTGATCGTATGCAAGAGTGCACGGCTCTGTAAGCCAGCGTCAATTCGACACATCGGTTGACGGAATTCTCGTCCGTGGACCAGGCTTCAAAAAATTCTCTGCTCGTTTTGTTTCCCGCATGGGCCAGTACCTTGACGGCAGCGAAGTTGAACTCATGGCCTGTTTCGTAGGTGTGAGCTGCAACTTGTTATAATTCGTCGCCTCGTCGCACGGCCAACTTGTGTTCATGTATGCGCGATCCGAACATGCGTTCAGTTCGGCCTGCGTAATTACAGGGACAGCTCAGAATAAAATACAAATCGTTCCGGTGTTCGATCATCTGTCTTCTTTACCGGTACCTTCTAATTATTAAACAGTTTTAGCATACCTTGTTCATTACCTACTTTACAATTACCAGTCTTAATTTATTCTCGAGTTCATTGACCAGGGTTTGCATCCTACACATGTGTGCTTCTGAATAAGTGTGTAAGTTTTTTTTACCCGACAGGATGAACTGCTTGTCCTCTCCACGGGCCCTCCGAAGTTCATAGGTCTAGCGGTCTACGTGCAGTATTCCGATGCGCCTGGTCGCCTTCACCTAATAGTGGAGTATCGTGAAGAGCAAACCATGAGTCGTATATTTCAACTGGATGTCTTTGAGGTAGAGGCGTGGACGAACCTTGGAATCGTGTATGTCGCAGATACAGAGAGAAGTGAAGCAACACTTGAAGTCTACAAGGACGGCAAGCAGTTGGTATCAACCAGCCAGCCAATACCTACGTTTTCGCTCCACCTAGCAGCCAACCCGACCCCCGGAATATACATCGGAGCCGCAGTGCGAACAATGCCAAATATGTCGGAGGTGAAGGTAGCCTCCGGCAGCATTAGTTCCCTCGGTACGTGAGCCATACAGCACCGATAAGGGGATTTGTTTACTAACAACGCTAAACTCCGATGGGGAGGGGGGCACACCATATAGCCTTACTATTGACTTCCTTGGAGATGTTACGTTTTTTGCTTTTTTTAAAAGCTTTTAGGGTTAGGATGACTGATATTCCCCTGTAGAGGAGGTGGGAGCAGGAACGCTCGTCCAATTAAAAAGGTGGTCTTGAGCATAATCCCGCGAAATTGGCAGTATTTCCAATATCCGAACCCCTATAATAACCACAAGCATAAATCTGAAGGACAATAACACTAACCCGATAACACTTGACTCTTAAGATAACACAGTTAGCTCACCTTGCCATAACTCTAACTTACCTTAACACTGGCCTTGATTATAACTTTCTAGACCTGGCCCTAAACTAAACGCCAACAATAAAACCGACCCTATTTGCCCTGGAATTTGACCCCAAAAGGACATCTGCATTTCAGCTTTCCATTTTCCTCAGCTTAGTTCAGGAAATATTCAAGGACTGGCAGCTCTAGGCCGAAATTTGATATGCATATTTCCGTCGAAGTCCATTGGCCACTGTGGTATTACCGTATGCTATTCACAAGCTGATGCCAAGCAGTCAGTAGTATAATCTGTGTAATTATTTACCAGCAGGCTAAGACAACGCGGTGACTCCCGCGAAACTATAGTGAAATCAGACTCGCGGAGAATCTACCCCACTCGCTCACCACTCCCACACCCGCACCCAGTGTCAAAACGAAAGCCAAGAAGGCCAAAGAGGGAGGGGTGGCGCAGACGGCTGGCGCGACCAACACTCGACACCCGTACCAACAACACGTCTCGCTAGGTCAGCTACGGACCGGGAGCGCCATAAAGGCCACATTAAGAAGGAGCCATTGCAGCCTGACTCTCAGCCCGCTGTTAGCCACTCAACATAACAAGAGACATTCGGCCGACTGCGGTGCTCAAGTTATCCTGTCTGTTTGCAACACTCCAAGCCACGGCTACTAGCGCACTGCGATAGTTTGAAGCGCATCAGACTGATTATAGTGAGGAAAGAAATGCGCTGATGGTCAACCTCACTCTCTCCTCCACTGCCAGCAACAGGCCACCGCCTAGCTGTCGGTGTCCTGAGGTGGGATGGGCGCAGTGCTGT